GAAGCCCCACAAATATCAATGGCATTTTTCACAGATCTAGAATAAATACTCCAAGACTTTATATGGAACCAAAAAAGACCCAGAATAGACTCAGCCATCTTGTGAAATAAGAACAAAGTAGGAGGATCACAATACCAGATATCAAACTATACTACAAAGCCATTTTAATTAAAATAGGCTGGTACTGGCATAAGAACAGTCATATATATTAATGGAATAGAGCAAAGAACCCATAAGTAGACCCCAAGTCATTACATTAAATTAATATTTGACAAAGGAGGCAAGAGCATACAATTGGAGTCAAGACAGTCTCTTCAATAAATGCTGGGAAAGTTGGGGAAATTGAACTAGACCAGTGGTCAGCAAACTCATTAATCAACAGAGCCAAGTATCAACAGTACAACGATTGAAATTTCTTTTGAGAACCGAAAACTGACTTCTGTGCATGGGCCACAAAGTTTCAGTTGCACTGTACATGCATGCCCACACGTGCTATTTTGTGGAAGAGCCACATTCTATGGGCCAAAGAGCCGCATGTGGCTTTCAAGCAGCAGTTTGCTAACCACTGAACTAGAAAAATGCAAAAAATGAAACTAGACCACCAATTTACATCATACACAGAATAAACTTAAAATAGATAAAATATTTAAATGTAAGTCATGAATCTATAAAAATCATAGAATAAACCACAGACAGCAAAATCTTAAACATCTCTCATAGCAATATGTTTAGGGATACATTTCCTAGCAGTGGTTCTCAACCTCTCTAATGCCACAACCCTTTATGTTTCTCATGCTGTGGTGACCCTCAACCATAAATTATTTTTATTGCTACTTCATAACTATAATTTTGCTGCTGTTATGAATCATAATGTAAATATATGTGTTTTCTTGGAAACCAAGATGGCAGCAAAAGGTAAATACCTATATTGCTTCCTAGCACAACAATTTTTTAAAATTAAATTATTATCTGTGTACGTATTTTAACATTGCCCCCCCTACAAAACTTCCCTCCCCAGAGTTTTGTGTCCATTAGTTGTACTTATATGCATGTATACAAGTCCTTCGGTTGATCTCTTATCTACCCCAGATCTCCCTACTCTCCCCACTGTAATTTTACAGTCTGCTTATTGCTTTACTGTCTTTATATCTATCTTTTGGTTTGTCAGTTTATAATGATTTTTAATGTCCATAAATGAGTGAGGCCATGTGGTATTTCTCTTTTATTGACTGGCTTATTTCACTCAGCATGATGTTCTCTAGTTCTATCCAGGTTGCTGCAAATGATGAGAATTCCTTCTTTTTTATGGCAGCATAGTATTCCATTGTGTTTAGGGGTGTCAAACTCAATCAGAGAAGGGGCCAAAATCTAAAATCCAACCTAAATCGCGGACCAAATGGTTTACTGAACAGTCATAAACTGTCATTGTGATGGAAACGCAGTGGAGTGCAGTAATGACAGCATGGTGCGGGCCACATGGCCGGACGGATTTGGCCCGCGGGCCTTGTGTTTGACACATGTGGTGTAGATGTACCATAGTTTTTTGATCCAATCATCTGCTGACGGGCACCTAGGCTGTTTCCAGATTCTAGCTATTGTAGATTGTGCTGCTATGAACATAGGGGTGCATATATCCTTTCTGATTGGTGTTTTTAGTTTCTTGGGATATATTCCTAGGAGTGGGATTACTGGGTCAAATGGGAGTTCCATTTTCAGTTTTTTGAGGAAACTCCACACTGTTCTCCACAGTGGTTGCACCAGTCTGCATTCCCACCAGCAGTGCACGAGGGTTCCTTTTTCTCCACAACCTTGCCAACACTTGACGTTTGTTGATTTGTTGATGTTGGCCATTCTGACAGGTGTGAGATGGTACCGCATTGTTGTTTTGATTTGCATCTCTCGGATAATTAGTGACTTTGAGCATGTTTTCATGTGCCTTTTGGCTTTCCTTCTGTCTTCTTTTGAAAATATTCTATTTAGATCCATTGCCCATTTTTTAATTGGATCATTCATCTTCCTTTTATTTAGTTGTATAAGCTGTTTGTAGATGTTGGAGATTAAACCTTTATCAGTGGTAACATTTGCAAATATGGTCTCCCACACAGTGGGCTTTCTTGTTGTTTTGTTGATGGTTTCTTTTGCTGTAAAAAAGCTTTTTATTTTGATGTAGTCCCATTTGTTTATTTTCTCTTTAGCTTCCATTGCCCTAGGGGCAGTATCAGTGAAGAAGTTCTTTTGGCATACGTCTGAGATTTTGTTGCCTGTGGATGCTTCTAGTATTTTTATGGTTTCCCGTCTGATGTTTAAGTCCTGTATCCATTTTGAGTTTATTTTTGTGCATGGTGTAAGTTGGTGATCTAGTTTTGTTCTTTCTAGCACAACAATTTTAAAACTACAACTGGAAGACAGAGAGGACATCACCCAGAACCACCAGAAAGCTGGCTGAGTGGAAATTCTACAACTAGAAGGAAAGATAAAAGAACACTGAGACTCAGGAGCTGTGGAGGTGTGGAGACCTGTGTGCACAGAAAGGGCAGGCAGCTGAATATGCCGCTGGCTTACTTGCAGAAGTGCTCGGAGACTCGTGGCACACAGAGATGTGGGCAGCAAACGTGCAGCTAGCTTTCTAGTTAAAGAGGAAAACAAAGCCTCCCAACTGCACTGAAATCCAGCTCTGGGTGAGACTTTGGGTACCAGACTCATTCGTGTAGAAACTGGACTGTCTGGCAGCAGGCAAAACTTGAGAGCAAACTTCTCTCAGAGGTGCAGCCATTACTTTGGGACACTGAGAACAGAGCCCTCTTAGAGCTGGGATGATGGGAAATCAAGGCTGTCTGCTCCACCCTGAGACTCTGCCCCATCCAAGCTGAGCACAGAAGCCCTCCGAGCGGAGACACTGCTGATCCTCACAGCCAATGGCCTAGAGGTTTCCCCAGTGATACCAACAACAAACAAGAATGCACACACAGCCCATAAAGGGGTGAATCAAGAGTGTCCACTTCAGGTACCTGGGGAGGCTGAGCTCCTGGGCCCTGCTAGGCATCTAGCACACAAAGCAACTCCATCAACTAAGGGAAGCAGCTAAAATGTGGAGGCAAAGAGGCAGGCCACAATTGAGGGAAATGGTGGAAAGCAAAAAGACAGGATATAGAGTTTAAAACCATGGTTATAAGGTTTTTCAAGAATTTCCTAGAAAAGCCAATAAATTTAAGAATTTAAGAATATGGAAAAAGATCAACTAGAAATTAAGAATACACTGGCTGAAATAAAAAAATATTATACAGAGACCTAAAAGCAGACTAGAGGATCACAAGAATCAAGTTAAAGATTTGGAATACCAAGAAGTAAAAAACATTCCTCCTGAAAAGCAAAAAGAAAAAAGAATTGAAAAAGTTGAAGATAGTGTAAAAACCTCTGGGACAACTTCAAGCATACCAACATCAGAATTATGAGGGTCCCAGAAGAAGAGAGAGAGAAAGATACTGAAAACCTATTTGAAGAAATAGTAAGAGAAAACTTTCCCCACCTGGTGAAAGAAATAGACTTACAAGTCCAGGAAGCACATAGAATCCCAAACAAAAGGAATACAAAGAGGACCACACCAAGACACATCATAATTAAAATGCCAAGAGAAAAAGACAAAGAGAGAATATTAAAAGCAGCAAGAGGAAAAACAGTTGGTTACCTATTATACAAGGGAGCACCCATACGATTGTCAGATGATTTCTCAACAGAAACTATGCAGGTCAGATGGTAATGGCAGAAATATTCAAAGTGATGAATAGCAAAAAACTACAATCAAGATTAATCTACCCAGCAAAATTATCATTCAGAATTGAAGGGCAGATAACAAGCTTCACAGATCAGAAAAAGCTAAAGGAGTTAATGATGGCCAAATCAGAATTATAAGAAGTGCTGAAAGATATTCTTTAAGAAGAGGACGAAGAATAAAAAGGTAAGTATAAAAATTATGAACAACAAATATGTATCTATGAACAAGTGAATCTAAAAACCAAGAAAATAAAAAACCTGATGAACAGTATTAACTGGTGAATATAATAGAATCAGGGGCATAGAAAGGGAGTAGACGGACAATTCTTGGAGAAAAAGGGGAGTGGGGATGCAGGAAGAGAATGAACAAAAAGCATACATCTATGGATGAGGACAATGGGGGGAGTAAGGGAAGAGGATGGAGTAGGAACCTGGTGGAGGGCAGCTATGGGGGGGGGGGGAAAGAGGAACAATTGTACTAATCTGAACAATAAAGATTTATTAAATTTAATAAATAAAGAAATATCTGTGTTTTCTGATGGTCTTTAGCTCTACAGCAGTGGTTCTCATCCACAGGTTGAGAACCGCTAGCAGGGTCACCTAAGACCATCAGAAAACACAGATATTTACATTATGATTCATAACAGTAGCAAAATTACAGTTATGAAGTAGCAACAAAAATAATTTTATGGTTGGGGGTCACCACAGCATGAGGAACATAAAGGGTTGTGGCATTAGAAGGGTTGAGAACCAATTTCTAGGGCAAAGCAAACTAAGGAGAAAAATAAACAAATGGAACTACATCAAAATGAAAAGCTTCTGGCACAGCAAAGGAGACCATCAAAAAAATGAAAAGGGAGCACACTGTATAGGAGAACATATTCACCAATGGTACATCTGATAAAGGTTTAATTTCCAAAATATATAAAGAACTCAAAACAACTTAAAAGAAAGAAAAACAACCCAATAAAAAAAATGGACATAGGACCCAAATAAACACTCTCCAAAGAAGACATAGAGATGGCCATGAGACATGAAAAAATGCTTGAAATTGCTGATAATCAGAGAGATGCAAATTAAAATAACAATAATGCATCACCTCAAACCTTCCAGGATAGCTACCATTAACAAATCAACAAATGACAAGTGCTGGCCAGCATGTGGAGAATAGGAACCCTAGCTATACTGCTTGTAGGAATGCAGACTGATGCAGCCAATATAGAAAAAAGTATGAAGTTTCTCAAAAAACATTAAAAATGAAAATTCCATTTGACACAGTGATTCTACTCCTAGGAATATATCTTAAAAATCCTGAAACAGCAATCAGAAAGAATATATGCACCCTTATGTTCATGACAACACTATTTACAATAGCCAAAATCTGAAAACAGCCCAGTATATGAGTGTATAAAAAGCTATGCTTACATAGAAACTACAAAAAACATCTCTTACCTGTTTGAAACATCTTGGAAGGACTTAGAGAGTATTATGCTAAGTGAAATAAGTCAGTCAGGGAAAGACAAGTATCACATGATGCCACTCATATCAGAATAGAAAACAACAACAAAATAAACTAGTAAGTAATATAGATCCAGAGATATTGAAACATGCAACTGACTGATGAATTTCAGAGGAAAGGGGGGAGACATAATGGAAGAAATTAACCAAATAACTTATATGCATACTAGAGACCTGGTGCATGAAAATTCATGCACTCAAGGAGTCCTTCAGCCAGGCCTGTACCCACAGGCAAATCAGGAGCCTTTAGGGGATGTCCAACTGATGGCTTAGGCCCTGACCCTAGATCACCCCTTATTCACTGTGTCCCCCCCATCACCATCCTCTCCCTCTGCCCGCTGGCACCCACCTTGATGGCTTGGTGACACCCACTCACCAGCCCCACCCCCCACCCACCAATCATTCCACTGCTTAGTCAATTTTCATTGTAGCCTTTTATTATGTAGGATATACATAACCCATGAACACAGACAGTAGTGCAGTGGGGGCAGGTACAGGGTGGAGGGGGTCAATGGGGAAAGAAAGGAGACATACTAGTATGTAATACTTTTAACAATAAAGATAAATTTTAAGATCTATATATGTAAAAACCTAAGTGACCCTCACAATCAAAACAACTGAACAGATGACCAAACAGGCTACATGGGGTGACCAGGCTGGCAGGGAGTTTAGTGAGGGACAACCAAATAACTGAGCAGCAGGTTGCATGGGGTGATCAGGCCAGAAGTGGGGAGGGGGCAGTTGGGGCTAACCAGGCCAGCAGGGAGGACAATGAGGGGCAGTTTGGGGAAATCAGGCAGGCAGGCATGTGAGCAGTTAGTAGCCAGTGGTACTGGATTGTGAGAGGAATGTCCGACTGCCGGTTTAAGCTTGATCCCTAGAATTGGGCCTAAACTGGCAATCAGACATCCCCTTAGGGGTCCCGTATAGAGAGAGTGCAGGCTGGGCTCGAATTTCATGCACCAGGCCTCTAGTAAATAAATAAATAGAGACCATTATAGAAAACCTTACATTAACAGTTTTAACATCAAACTACTGTGTCATTCCTACTGCATCAGCTATCTTAGCAGATATTCACAGACACTTCTTAGTGACTATTGGTCTTTCCACTTTCATAAAGAACCCAAAGGTTAGTCAAAAGCATCCTAGAAGGTCATGTGTATCTCTGTCAACCATTTAGAAAAACTAAAGATTGTACTTGCTAATTTCTTATGAGGCAGTGTCTGCATTTTTTTTTTTTTAGTAGAAAACCTTGTTATCATTCAATGCACCAAATTGTGTTGACATGGTTATTGTGTGCCAAAGATGAGCTGTGCAGAAAGGAAGTCTTTTCTCTACCAGCCTCTCTGTGGGCTCTTTTCTCAGAGTTTCTTACCTCAGCCCTGTGTTCTCAGCTTTAAAACATCCTGTGACCTTTCAGTCCAAGGGCTGACACTCTAACCCTGATCCAATCCAGCTAGGGCTTATTGAAACCTGTAACTTATTCCCTTGCTCAGAATCTTCCAGTGGTTTGCCATCATCCTCATGATAAATCGAACTCCTTGCCATGATTGCCAAGTTCTTTCATAACTCAGCCCCTGCCTATATGTCCTACAACTCTGAACCTTTCTCACCCTACTCATTCACATGAGCTTTCTTGAGTTTCTGAAAGGCCTTCTGCTCACTATTCATTCTGCTTAGAACATTCTGTACTGAAACACTTACTCCATTAAGGTCTCTGATTAAAAGTTACTTTTTCAAAAAGGTTTTCCTTTCTAAAATAGAGAACTCTTCAAAGTGTCTTTACTTTTTATCCTAACACTTACCTAAGATAATCACCAGATAAGAGCACAGATACTTATTGGTTTTCTTTCTGTGACTCTTCCTACCATACAAGCTCCAGAAAAATGGGATCTTTATCTTTTCTCCTATCTGCTCTATCCCCAGAACCCAGAGGACCATGTAACAATAGTATTTGTTGAATAAATGAGTGAATGAATGTCTGATATAAGTATATTGCTCCCATTTTACAGAGGCAGTAATTGAGAGTTAGAGGACTCATTTAGAAAGTGATGGATCTAAGCTCCAAATCTAGTTCTAAATCCAGGTCTGATGCTCTTTAACCTTTAAACTCAACTGCATGCTACTGCCAAACCCTTTTCTGGTGCACAATTATTGACCTCCATAAGTTCACAGAGTAATAGAAGGGGCCAGGCAGCAAATAGGTAATTACCTAAAGAAGAGTCAGCACCTGGACAAGACAGAAATAAGGGGAGGTTTAACTCCATATGAATATAGTTGAGATGGAAAACATCTTCTAGTCAAAAGAAAGAGGTCATATTAGGTAGGAGAGAACATTTTGGGGAAACACTGGGGTGTGAAGTACTTGCCATGTTGAGTACCATGAGTGGTTTGGTCTTTCTGCAGTGGAAAAGCATAGCAAGATGCAGGGGGAGCCAGGGCTGCAGAGTCAGATGCTGGCATGATGGAATACTACTCTTTGAGGACAATGTAGACCAAAATGGACAGAGCAATTTCTGAAAGGACTCAATATATTGTTACAGAGCAGCATCTCCTTGGAAATACGTCCCGATCTCTCTATATAAAAGCTAATATGCTAATTGTCCAACTGTTTGACTGTTCGACAATTCCACCAGTAGCTATGATATCCACTAACCACCAAGGGGCAGACACTCAATGCACAGTCATGGAAACATGGAACAGCCTGATGAATCTCAGAGGGAAGTGGAAGGGGAAAGGACAGGAAGAGATTAACTAAAGATCTTATATGCATACTAAAGTCCCTGTGCACTGGGCACAGATTAGTGCATCAGTGTGGTCCCTCAGCCTGGATCAGGCCAAAATCATGCACCAGGCCTCTGACTTCCCCTGAGGGTTCCAGGATTGTGAGAGGGCACAGGCCATGCCAAGGGACCCCACTGGTGCATGAATCTGTGCACCAGGCCTCTAGTTTCAATATAACAAAGAATACATTTTCAGCTCCCCAGTTCAGAATGCTCACTAAGATCTCCACACTTAAAATGGGACATTTCAAGTAATTTATAGTAACATGGGAAAGAGAAATGAGACTGGTGAAGTACATTAGTAAAGATTCATAGAGACTTGTTCAGGTTTAGACAGGATGGGAGAGTGCTTAGTGTTGTTTAAAAACACACTGTGGATCTCTAGACCCAGTGGAGGGAGCTGAGAATAAAAGACAAAGATTTTTCTACTTCATTTGACAGAATGTTTTCTGAGGTTTTGATTCTTTAATTGTTTCTATTACTTAAATGATCAATTACCATGGAAGTATGGCTGAGAACTCTAGTTATAGCCTCTGGGGAGAAAAAATGTATTTGCATAATCTGGAACCCTTTCTGGCTAAACAGACACATGAAAGTGATGCCATGGTAATAACCTGGTTATTATTTAACAGGAAATGAGTGAAAGGGGACATCAAAACATATAGGCATGCCATTTATACAGCTTTGCCAAAAATCTGCATTTAACATTCTCCAAGTCTGTTCTCTCCTGATTGATAGAGAAAGAAACTAGACAAAGGTGGTTTAGACACATGCTCAGTAAGATCTGAATGAGATGGAAAGGTGCTTACTTGTCTGCCCATCAATCACAAGTGGAACCAGGAAGGGTATGGCCACTGCAAGTATGAGAAATCTAAATATATAAACTTCCAAACAAAGGAAGTTGGCTCTTTCTATCTTTCTGGGCTCTAGGGTGCCTGGCTCCTGTAACTCCTGCTGCAGGGAGCTGGGCTCTTCTGCACACGTGATGTACAACCACATTGGGCACCACAATTGGACTGATGGACTTTAATCTGGCCTCTATGCTGAACCACATCTGGCTGCAACATGGAACTGAGACTCTGGACACTGGCCCTGTTTCTGATTCTGCTAAACTCCCAGTTTCACCTATTCCAGGACTGGCTTAGGGACAGGAGACTTTTGAACACAAGAAACATAACTTTATGCAAATAAAGTCTTTTTCCACATTCCATTCTTCCCTGGAGTTGTGGGCTCAGTCCCCATTATGGGAAGTGCAGGAGGCAACCAAACAATGATTCTCTCTCACACTGAAGTTTCTGTCTCACACTCTCTTTACCTTTCTCTCTGAAATTAATTTTTTTAAAAATGGGTTTTTTTAAAGAAAGAAATACTTCTTTTCAGCAGTACCCAAAAAAATCTTGCTACCCCAAATGACAGGAGAGTTTCATCCACCATCAACAAAAACATGGTGTACACAGTCACCCTTGTAGGGGAACATAGTAAGGCAGATTTAGGAGGGAGAGAGTAATTTGTACCATCCTATTCTTTCCATGTATGGTTTCTACAAGCCACCACCAAGGTTCTGCACCACTTCCACATGTGCCTGCTATATCCACAAAGTGAGCATTATTTTATGGTTTTAAGCAAAATTATGTTTTAAGATGTAACCTCATTTGCTGCTCTTTTGACTGCTGCTTTGTAATGTTTTATCTGTTTTAATTACTGTTTTAATGTGCTGCTTTACTCTGATGTGCTTCTGTGGAGGGTAACATTTTAAGAAGTAAAGAACAAGATAAATCACAGATGAGAGCCCACATCAGTCTAACTGCTGTCTAAATGAGTTTTTTTTTAATTTGCCTGGTATTGAGTGTTAATAAGTAATAGTCTCTCTTTCAAGTGTAAGGACCTAGATGTAATGTCCAAGGTCAGACATGGAGCACAGGTAAAACTTGGAATGGAAAGCAATATTCTCGAGGGTTTTCTTAGTTTCCAATAACTAGAATTCATGTATCATGTTTAAGTTTGATCTATGTTCTCAGCTAAAAAAAGTTCTAAGTCTTTAAAAGTAACAAAAATCTTATGTTTTCAACAAGTCTTTCAAAGTAAAAGCTCTATCAAATGCAAAAGTATAAATTTTCCACTTAACTCAAATAGTAATTGAATTACACTTTTCTTGGCCAGGAAAAAAATACCGCAGACCCAGTTCTTAACCTGAGTCACGTTACCCTTAGTTACACATTCAGTTGCATTCCTTGGCTTAGTAAAGTAGGAAATAGATGGTTGGCTTGGAGTTTCCTGACTTGAAGTAGATGCTGCAATGACATAATTCCCTTCCACCCCCACAGGCACACTAAGCTTTTTATTTCCCTATTTAAGCACAGGCAAGGTCAAAACAATAGATGAAATTTTATAAAACAGTAGTCATTATGCCAAACTATTTTTTACTGACTTTCTAAAACCACTTTGGAATCAGCTCCAACTGTGTTTATATATAAAAGGAAATTAAGCTCAACGCCTCAGCCACAAAATTCTTTGGCCTTGAATTGGCCAGATGCCTAAATTTCCTGTTCCTAAACAGGGTCAATTGTGAGGCTTTCAATTTTACACTAAGGTCTGGCCTTCCAGATCTTCATGGTTAAAGATGAACTTGCCAGGTTTACACAAAGTTGAGATACTGATATGAAGAAATCCAGTCAGATAAATGCAACCAGCCAGATTGGAGCAAATGTGGTTCACAGAATGCAACTATATCCCCTCTTCCCCCTGCCCAACACACACACACACACACACACACACACACACACACACACACACCACTCTACTTTTATAGACTCCCTTGTGAGGCTCTATAATCACAGCAGTAGTTTTAGTTCAGTAATAACTCTGTACAGTTGAGAAGGCTAAAAAAGCTAATTCCAATGTAACCCTGATATTTGGGGGATGTGGAGGTAGGGGACTATCAATCTGAATTTGTGCCAGCAAGCCCAGAGTACATTCTTGATAACCTATAATTAAGTCACTGCCTCTTTCCCAGAAACTGGTCTTGTAGGACCTATTACCTAAATTCTAAATTCTCAGATTTCACAGAGGCCATAAACTATGAATAGTGCACAGCCCTGGGGGGGGGGGGGGGGGGGAGGAAAGGGGGGGGGGTTATTAGTGCTGGCACCAGGCCAGACCATTAGATATGGTCTCAAGACCCCCAACACCTGGGGCCTTTTTTGCAAAGCCTATGAAAGGACTGGAAGCATAATCCATATTTAGGGACACAGACCCCAGAAAGATATAAAAGAAAAGCTCCCCACATATTTGCTCAGATTTCGGAGGTTATTCTGCTGAGTCTGCTGGCATAATAAGCCATGTAACTCCATTTCTCAAAGCATTGCTTGGCTTTTCTCTGGTTTTCTACAACACAGTCCAGTCACATGTTATAATTTCAGAATCTGAATTTCATTCAAAGTGTGTTCTCCCCACCAGCTTTTTGTCCTCTTGGTCTTCCTAACCCCTCTCTTGCTTGATTGCTTTTTTTCTCCAAAGTTAGGGGCCAGGAGAAGAGGAGAGAAAATGGGCAAAAAAGGTTTCATGTGCGTGGCATGATTATAGCATTATTTTATTGGCTATGATACATGTTGGAAGTTGGTGTGAGTACTTATGAGGGCTCTGCAGAGGCCCATCCACTCCAGACTCTAACTTTTAGTTCCCTAATGAGGATTGTGTGCACCATTCACCGCCCCACCCCTCCCTTTCCTTCTGAACATCCACCTGTATAGCCTGGCTTCCTTCTGATGTGCTCTCCTTGTCTCTAGGGTCTAAGTAAGGGTCTAAGACAGCTCCATATAGCTTTCTCTATTACATCACACACATCAAGATACTCCTAGATATATTAACTTCCCAAACTGTGGGTCTCCTTCTGCTGTTACAGGCTGTTTCAGCCAGCTCTGGACTTTTAGATTTCTCTGAATAATAAGGCAACAAGTCTACCACTGGTTTTTTCAGTCTTCTGGGGACATATGTCAAGCTTGTGATGGACTCACTCAAGCTTCATATCATGAGCTTAAGAAAGAAACAAGGCTAATCTATGTATCATAATCCTTTTCTCATAGGAGATGGAACTTAGAGATTTACACTGGCCAATAGAATGTGAATAGACATAACACATACCATGGCCAGATTTTAAAAACTTTGGGAGTTTTAGGGAGAATAACATGATAGAGTTGTTACCTTAGCCTGGGCCTTAAAATGATAAAACAGATGGCATCAAGACCCAGTTGACTTGTAGTAAATCAATGTTAAGCCAAGTTAAGCTGCAGATGAATGAACTCCAATGGATTCAAGAGGACCTATAGCCAACCCATAACCTTTATATAATTTAAATAACAAACCTGTCTTCATGGGTGAAAATCATTGAGATATTAGGACTATTGTCTCTGCAGCAAAAACTGACTCATATACTTGGCCAATAGTGGCTATCAAAGTATTAGAAAAAGTAGGGGGAGTATGTCTTAGGATCCAAGAGAAGAAAGGAGGATGGAAGGCAGCATCAAGACTACTACCAGTAAGAACAGTTTTGCTAAAATGATGAGGCCACTGCTTGATCAGAGTAGGTTCAAGAGAGAGTGAAAGAAGAGGATTTATAGACACTCTAAATTGAAAACCCTCCTGAGGAGTTTTTCTATCAAACACAACAGAGAATAAGACTGGAGATGAAGGAGTATGTGTAGACAAGGAAGGTTTATAAAACGAAAACAATTAAACTTTTAAAATTATTCAATGAAGAAGACAAAATGATATGAGAGAGAAGAGAGATAAATATTGGAGTAATGCTTTCCAAAAAGCAAGAAAGCCTGTGATTAACAAACAAATAGAAGATTAGGCCGTACTGGGCAAAGGGCAATTTGTCCCTTGTGATATGATTCAATGTGAAATTTAGGAACCTCATGTAGGGAGGCAGGTAGATACAAGGGGACCTTGTCCAAATTATCTTCTCATTGGTTCTCTCCTCTTAGTGAATTGGGAAGACCACCAACTGAAAGAGGGCTGAGGAAGAGGTGACGAGAGATTAAGGAGAGGAGAGAAGGTGTGAGTGAACTTATCTAGTAAATGAACTTTAGGATGATTATCTCCAAAGACCAGCATTTGGCCTATGAGTCTCACAATCTAGGATCTGAGAGCTGTCATTCAGATACTTTAATGGGCCAGAAATTCTGCATGATGTGGTCAGTCAGGAAGGAAAGGGTGTGAACAATGGTAGGAGCACAAAGCAGGAAGGAGAAGAAAAAAAAAGAACTGTTCTATCAATAGCTGGGGATGGTACTTGGGTGACACAAAGGTTCTTAGAGGGGAGTCCTAGTGGCTGAATCCTGGTGGCTTCAGGCATGGAGGAGAAAGGGTGTCCTGGAAGAGAGAGATGCCTGGAGGTAGTGTGGTATATTTGGGGGAATGAAAGTTTTTCAATATGGCTGAAATATAGGTGTGTGTGTTGTATGTGTGCATGCACATATGTTTATGGGCCCAGGTGCATGCATGTTTGGAAGACAGTGTATGTGTAACCAAGGGAGTCCCAGAAGTATGTCTGTAGAATGCCACAGTTAGCAACATTCTGCCCACCTGTTCCTATGTGATGCGTGTCATACTTGAAACCACCTATGTATCTCCCTGAGTCTCACCTATTGCTAAAGCCAAAATTATGATGCTGTTATTTATCTTTCATGCACAATCCAATAAGAAGTTCACTTTAAGATGTAAACACAGTCCAGATTTCCATTCCACCTTTGTGTCCTATTGAGTTACACAGACTAAGGATTTGGTTCAATGACTAAGAAAAAAAACCCTCTCCAAATGTTTGTATTGAAGACTGAAGGCAGAAATATTAAGTAAAACAAAAAATCAAAAATATATTACCATTATACATCAGTAGTTTTACAAAATATATGTACTCCTAGAGTTTTTTGTTTGTTTATTTTGTTTTGTTTTGGTTTGGCTTTTTTGTTTGTTTGTTTGTTTGTTTTTGGGTGTTTTTCTGTTTTGTTTTGTTTTGTTTTGTTTTGTTTTGTGGGGGGAAGCTGTTGCCAACAGAAAAATTCTCAAAAAAATGTTGCCACATAGTTTACCTTGGGAAAAACAAAACAAAACACAAAACAGCATTAAGTCATAGTTTGCAAGTGTCCATGTGCCTTCTGTTTAAATTGCTTTCCAGTTAACATTCCCTGATGTGCCCCTGATAACTTTTGTGAGCAAAAGGGGCCACATGAAAATCTGACAAGCTCGGGAAGGCCTGCATGGCCGTCTTGCAAACTCAGAGACCTAAAGTAACCACAAAGGATGGTCTGAAATTAAACTTTAACTAAAAGAAGTTATGGTGGGTAGTTACCAGTACAACCTAGGCTGTTATCTTCACTGACAAGTGCTGGAAGCCAATTCAAGCATGTCATAATTACAAGAGTTTCATGAAACTTAGGGGGCCAACAAGGACTGAGTCACATATGTACTCACCTGTTGGAAGGGCTGAAAGGCACTTCCCCCAAACCTGAATAGGATGCTTGTTTGCTGCCAGACAGCTCAGGGCATCTGGCTGTGCTCCTACACATCTCAATCTACATGTTATTGCCTCCTGTTGGCCAAACACCTGAACAGCTGTAGGCTATTCCCCAGTCTGACAATGCTTCTGTACCCTACCCTTTTGAAGTGTGTATCTCCACCTTGCCTTAGAACAAATTATGTTAATAAAAAGGAAGAGTCCTAAGACAAGGAGAATTTTAGCTCCTTTAGCTGAAGCTCCTCTGACCGCCCAGTGCCTTTCAAAATTATCTTTCATCTTTGGACTCTTATTTAATCTATGCACAGCCTTTCTCCAGATTGCTGAACCCTTTGTAATGCTGGAACTTGAACCCCAGCAGACAGGTGAACTTTACCTTAACTGAGCCTATGTGTCTTTTTACATCTATTATTATATATTATTACATAACCTTGAAATGTCTGGGTAACTTTTAACTTCCCTTTTCCTGGACCCCTTGGGACACAACCTAATGTGCTGGGTACTAATACAGATATCACAAATTCCTTCATTGTTATCATGTTAACTAGAGGCCCTATGCACAAAGATTCATGCAAGAATGGGCTTTCCCTCCCCTGGCTGCAGGCACCACCTTTACTCGAGTGGGAGCCACCATTCCACCTTCCCATGCTGCCCAGAGGCCCAGAGCTACTGAGGAGATGCTGAATGCCTGCATCGTCACCATAGTGACGATGCAGGCATCCTCCAACTCCCCCAACTGCTTAGCACCAGCATATGCAAATTAACCCACCATCTTTGTTGGGTTAATTTGCATACTCACTCCTGATTGGCTGGTGGGTATCATGAAGGTATGGTCAATTTGAATCTTCCTCTTTTATTAGTGTAGATTGTTCCTGCACCCACCTAAATATGTGTCTATAATTTTACTTTTTATCTATAATAATTCTTGTGGTCCCCACCTTCCTACTCCTCTTCCCCCCACGCTTTACTTTCTCCCACCTCTCTAGTCTATCACCAATGGATTTCTTGTAACCCACCTACATCCCTTCCTTTGATTCAAATGTATAAATATATATGCAATATGCCATTCTCAGGAGCATTATCTCAATTTGTTGAGGTTCTACTCCTGGCATTTGTCAACAGTTTGGCTCAAGTAAACTTACAAAAATTCTTTACAGGTTTCAATGATTATTTTTACATTAACACTGTCTATTAAAATGCTTTTGAAGGCCCAGAAATGACAAAAAATCGTGATGTCATTGAAAACCCAAAGTGATGAACAAGCTAGTGTTAGAATCTCACAAGAGTTTTCAATAATCATAAGACTGATAGAGCTATTTTGAGAAAAGCAACCAGTACCTATCCATGTCCCACCTCATGGACTAAAGCACCCTTGCCTGCCTGTAGGACAGCAGAGCATACTTTGTTCTTAGTCCCATTACCCCCCTACTTAAAGAAGTTGAAAAACTATGGCAAAAAGTAATAGGGTAAAGGTGAAGGTGGGAGTGGGGGCTATTGTGTCAGCTATACCAAGGCAGAGACTTTTGCTTCTTTTATGTGTGAAAGAAAAGAGCCACATTCTAACCTGACAAGCTCAGGGGAGGCTTGTGTGGCAGTCTTGAAAACTCAGAGACCTAAAATAACCTCATAAATATCTAACTACAAACAGGTTATAGTGTATAGTCATTTCCTAGACCAATATTTCACCTAACAAAGATCAATTTAGATCACATGTGTCAAACACAAGGCCCGTGGGCCAAATCCGTCCCGCCAGGCCTTGCAATGTGGCCCGCACCGCGCTGTCATCACTGCACTCCGCTGCGTTTCCATCACAATGACAGTTTATGACTGTTCAGTAAACCATTCGGCCCGCGATTTAGGCTGGATTTTAGATTTTGGCCCCTTCTCTGATTGAGTTCGACACCCCTAATTTAGATCATCTTTACTGAGCCCATTTGCCTTCCAGGCCTTTAAGATAACATGTCTGTGAGATGTCTGGATAACTTGTAACTTCCCTTTTTCTGGAGCCCCTGGGGCACAATCAAATGTGGTGAGTGCCAGGACAGATGCCTCAAATTCCTTCATTATCATCTTAATTGTCCCTGCACTCACCTAAGTACAAGTCCATCATTTTACTTTTTATACAATCCCAGGGGTTTCCCACCGCTTTGCTTTCTTCCACCTCTTTAACCCATCACCAATGAATTTCATGTAACCCACCTATGTCCCCTCCTTTGATTGCAATGTATAAATAGAAATGTAACCCGCCATTCTTTGGAGCATTATCTCAATTCATTGAGATTCTGCTTCCTGGCATATGTCAACAGTTTGGCTCAAATAAACTCACAAAAATTCTTTACAGGTTTCAATGTTTGTTTGTTTTTTGTTGACATATGTTATGTTCTATCCAGTGGCTGACACAGATTAGAAGCTCAGTAAATATTAAATGAATGAAGAAGGGAGGGCAAAGGTTGATATTTGCAATGGCACATTGCATTATGGGGGTACATGTCCCATAATCCCTGGTTGCCAGGGATGGTGATGGGGAGACATTAGGAGTAGAGGGTACTGCATTGGTCCTGAGGGCCTTAAACTATGCAGTACAGACAACAGAAAACTTCACACATTAGGACACAGCTTCAGTGATGAATATTTTGCCTTATCCTCTGGTTATGAGTGTTACAAACTGACTTGTTAGCTTGGCTCCAAGAAAAAAAAAAAAGTAATGGGCAACCAGATGAGCATTGAGGACAGCCAGGGGCAGACCACATTTGAATGTTGGTAAATATAGAGTCTGGGAAGATTTCTCTATATTCAAATATAAGCAATGACAAGAAACTCAGCACAGTTTTTCAAAATGTCATGTACAATGAGGAAAATAAATGTCCTTCTGAAACCTAGAGGAAACGAGTTTCTAGCATTAGGACAAAATTTTAGAAAACTGTCAGGCACCTTCAAAACCAAAAAGTAATCTTAGACTCTAAGAAACAGGTTGAAAAATCACTGGGAGGATGTCTCATTGTCAGGCAAACACAATACTTACTGGTCGCTGGGCCCTGAGGGCGAGCTTTCTGCCGCATTCGCATGCTCGGGGAAAGCCCTTCTCTCTGGCATCCAGTCTGGACCAGGGGAAGGTGGGGCTATTGCGGCCACTGGGGACCACCATCCTCATTCACAGGCCCCATGGCCTTATCCACTCGACCACTTCCGGGTGATGCCTCTGCCCCTATCCATTCTTGGCCTTGCTGGTGTTCAAATAAACTCAGCCTTATTAGAAAGGTTGGCAAAATAAATTAGAGCTTTAAAAAATATTAAACTTTTTGAGTCCTTACTCCTATTTTTAAGAAACTATTTAAAGAAAATAATCAGAAATACAAAAGTGTGCATATATATTTATGAAATAATAATAGTATAATTTATATTAGTCTAAAATAATTCTAGCTCTAACATATTCTAATAAAATTTTAAATAAATAATTTTGGTATACTCTGTGGACGAAAGGGGCCATATGCTAACCTGACAAGCTCAGGGGAGACTTGCACAATAGTCTTGCAAACTCAGAGACCTAAAGTAACCACAAAGGATGGTCTGAAATTAAACTTTAACTAAAAGCAGTTATGATGGGCTGGTATCTTCACTGACAAGGTCAACCTTTACCTTAACTGAGCCTATCTGTCTTTTTGCATACCCTGGAAGTGTCTGGGTTGTAACTTCCCTTTTTCTGGACCCCCTGGGGCACAACCAAATGTTCTGGGTGCCAGGATAGATACCACAAATTCTGTCATTATCATATTAATTGTTCCTGCACCCAACTAAGTATTTGTCCATCATTTTAATTTTTATCCAATCTCAGGGGTTCACACCTCCCCTGCTTTGCTTTATACCACCTACTTAAGCTATCACCAATGAATTTCATGTAACCTACTGTTGAGGCCAGCAAGACCCAGTCGAGGTAGGGCTCCAGATGGCCAGCAAGACCCTGTGGAGGCAGGACTCCAGGCCAGGGAAGGAACAAGCAACCAGATTCACAACAAAGAATGTAGCATAACTGTTAGTTGTAAAATAGTTCTGTTGCAAGGCTCAACCCCCAGGCAGGCACGCCCTGTTTCCAGTAGCTGCAAGGCAGGACAAACAGACCAAACTAGGTCAAACAGAGACTGCTTAAGCTGAAAATAAACTCCCACCCCAGGTGTTGTATAAACTTTAAATGTTACTGTACTAGTGGAATTTTTCTATAACTTATAACTGACGTTTCTTTGTTAAAACTTCTAACCAATCATAATCTTCCAGGCATCCCTAAGACGGGGATAAAAGTAGCATGCTTAGAGTGGGTTGGGGCTCTCGTTACTCACGGCTGTGTCAGTTGAGATGTGAGCCCGGACTTGAGTTCGTAATAAAGGCTTCCTAAATTCCAATTTAGCTGACTGGTGTTCATCATTCGCGGGTCGCCCATAACACTACGTCTCTCCTGTGATTGCAATACATAAATACAGATGTAACCTTGAAAGGGCAGGGCAGGGCAAGGATGAGGGCGGAGTTATCCCTAGCCCTCAAAACCCCTGGACTGGGAGAAATTCGCTCTCTTCCGCCATGCTGCCGGCATGAGTGGGGGAGCCTATGCTAGCATGGTGAAGGCTCTTTTGCTTATTGCATCGGACTCGGCTCCCTGGTGGTCCTTGGGGATCACGAAGTCTGGGCATAACAACCTGCTATTCCCCGGAGCATTATCTCAATTCTTGAGGTTCTGCTTCCTGGCATATATCAACAGTTTGGCTTAAATAAACTCACAAAAATTCTTTATAGGTTTCAATGCTTTTTATGTTAACAACTCATATAATTTTGATATTCAGT